TCTCGTACTTCGGCCAAGTGAATAAACTACTTCCAAAGTATTTTCGTATATTTCAATTCTTTGTTTGTTCGTCAACGAGCTCGCGACCTGCGCGAGGCGCTCGTGTATTGTGAAACTTCGATGTCCCGTTATTCATTACGTATATCCCATAAGTATTCGTAACTCGTATGGGAATGATGGCTGCTAACCGTGCACACACGAATTTAGGAATTATCTTTCGTTTTCGAATGCGTGAAAGTATGTGAGCTTGATCAAGAACGATTCATATTAAATATCGTTCTACGTAAAACTATGATTTATAGTACGATTTATAGATAAAACGGCCAGCCGTTGTAATACAGAACAAGAACAATGTAACATGCGTGTCAATAACAATATGACACGAAGATGTTCTCGTTCGTGAATCGCTATTTGTTATTTCCTTGTGATAAAGGAAATGTCGATAAACGATAAAGTTCGAGTGTCCTGTCAATTTAAAAATATATAAATCGGATATTCGCGACGCTATTATCGCTCAAACTCTGTTACGCAACAATGTCCATATCGGAGGAGGAATTCGGTGTTGTGGGGGCCAAACTACCAAGAGTGTCTTCGTCTGGTAGAGCATGTTGACAGCCAGCCTGTGCTGGACTTAACGGTGGTAGATGGGGTGAGGAAAGCATAGGATCGCCACTATGGATAGGACCGTTACCATCGTCCTCCATTAGATCTTCGAGTTGCGACATACTTAAGCTCGTTGCTTCCTCGGTGACCAATTCTGGAATCTATAGAATATAAAAAGTAATATATCATTATAACAAATTATAACTGAAAGGATATATTTTGATGTTGAAAAGTCGAGAGATCAATAGATATAGAGAGCTATTATAAGCGGATTGCGGACTTTTATGCAAATTCATACTTTTGAGAACATTAGGAAATTTGATGAAAATAAATGTGTTCTGCGATTTCCTCATATTATATGCATTCTTTTGCAGTTAAAAATTTCTTATAAATGCATAAAAATCCGTATATATGATATGTGTATATCCCATCCTATAGTGGAAGTATAGTAGTAGTGGAAAAACGAGCGGAAGCTTAGAACTAACAATAAGTGGAAATAAAGTAGGAGTAAAGAAGAAAAGGACGCGATATGTAAAACCACTTATTTATATGCGCACACTCGTAAAAAAGATAGACAAAGAAAGACAAGAGAGCGAGGATGAATAAACAAGCGATTTCGTAGCTACATGTTTGATCGGAACAGATGTGAATTATGAAACCAGTCTCGAGAACGAAGCGAGCGTTTATTCGGATCAAGGATCGTGAAACGATCAGCGGTATATATCGGCGTTGATCGGCATAACCTTGACGAAATTCATAGCAGTCGCGGTGTCGTGACAGCCGCCGTCGCGCGAGGATGCACACCATTGAGAATGTATACATATTCACCTCGTTCCTGAATGAAGACACATGATGCTCATAGGACAAGGAATAATAATACAGTTCCTGACCATTAAATTAGAATCTACTATTATGTATGGACTAAAATTTTATCTTTTTAATTACAATACTATATCATAAATAGATTA